TATAGATATTAGTAAGCTGGTGATACAAGAAACGGTTATGATTTAGTTTATTGTTAATGAATATGAATTTATGATTTGTTCTATATTGTTGATTGTGTATGAAGTTATGATCTGTATGATATTATTGCTTCTGTAATTTATTTCCATAAATTCCCTGATAGTAAGAAAAATGGTAAATGATTTTATTTTAAATAAATATATTGGTTTAAATTTAGTGCTCCATTAGTTATTTTGATTTTCTACCAATCTTTACTTATGTGCTGGTGATGTAGTGTGATGTCCTTACTGGGTTAGTGTAACTCATTCCTTATTTAACCATTTCAGATCAGGAAGACTTGGTTTCCGAGCCTGATCTACAAGAAGATGGCGAGTAGATACTAGATACTTTATAGTTTCCTTTATTTTTTTCATTTCTCGTATTTCTTTTAGAAAACTTATTTAATGATATTGTTTAGTACTTTTAAGTTACTGTGTAAGGGATGTTAACCTTAATCTTTTATTTCGCTTCCGCACTCAGATTATTATATCTATTTCCTTTTGAATTTCCGGGGCCGTTACATCGGCCATGTGGGATGACACAGTTAGTAGCTCCGACGAACCAGAGCACACCGCGTGGCAACCCTACTAACATCGGCACCACGTGGGAAACCACGCGAACGATCTGCTTGCCCAGTGATCCGACAACCTAAATCTCATCTCGCACACGTGAACGACCCAAATGCATTCATTCTTTAGGCGCAATCGAATAGTCAGATTCAATCTGATCATGCAGCCCAATCCCTGAATAGGATAGATCCAACGAATGAGAGAGGGGCACATCTTTCCAAATGAACGACCTACATCAACAAGGATGGGTATTAAGCATCGCATTCCAGGAAACTCTAGCCATAACCGCCCTGCCTTCGTAGGAAAAGAAGAACTAGATGCCAAAAAAAAAGGTCGACCACCTGCTGTCGCTGCACTAGAGCCACCGTCGACAGTCAAAAGAGGTAAAAGTTTTTCATTCCCACTTGGAATTAAATTCTAAGTCTCCCTGTGACTATATCGGAGCAAAAGGGACGGCAAGTGTAACAAAAACTGATGGCAAAGCCTCGCGGAGATGCCGCGGTTAAAACTTTAAACCCCCTCCAATGACCCCCTTTCTGTTTTTCATTTCATACGATTCTTTGACCACTATGTTCACCATCCCTTTCTATGCATGTTAGCCGAAGAAGAAATCCCAACCGAGAAGGAGAACCGGCAGAGTCGCCGCACTCGGAGACTCCCCTCGCAGGTAAGTTCAGTTGTTGGATTTTTTTTACCAACCGAAACTTCCTATCATATTTTTTACCAGGGATATGTGTAAAATCGGTAAAAACTGGATAAAAACAGGCCAAAACTGGTCAGGTCGAGGTAAATCGCTACCGTGGGCGGCGGAGTCAATGTTGGAGTATGGCCGCGGCGCCGTGCTGGAACCATAAAATTGATCGGAAAGGATTTTCGACATCGATTTTGGAGTTTTTGGAGTATTTTTGGATACGTTACGAGTATTTTAATTTCTTGAGGGAAAATTCAGGAAATCCAAGCCTCGTAAGGAGGCATAGTTGGTAGCACAATATTTTGAAACATCGATCTGGGTAAAGATCCCTTACTCTATTCTCTGTTACGGTAAATTGAGGCATAATAATTAATAATATCGTATTTTGTAAAAATTAAAAAAAATTTAACAATAATTACAGGTCATTAGTGGAGCTAGAAAACTGATCAGTGTACGAATAACTTTAGTTTGCCTATGTCTATTTATTTTCATATACTACCTAAATTGCTTATTTTTCTGCCATATGATTTAAATTATTACATTTAATTGCTTCTTCATTATTGATTGTCTGATTATGATTTTTATATGATTAATTGATTTAAAATAGAGACCCTGATTACATTTCTTAATTGTTAAGGTATAAAAAAATGTATTGTTTGCTTAAATATCGTTTGATTGATCTATAAATATAAAATAAGATCTTAGTAGGTGATTGGTAATTGTTTGTTGATGGAAATTTATATATAAAAGACTTATTGGGTACCCTGAAAAAGGGTGGACGGACCCGGTACATAGAAAAAATTATATCGTGGACAATATCTCAACCGGACAGGGCTGAGGGGTCACATACTGAAATGGTTGGGAGATATAGTTCACCCTCATACTGAACGGAGTATCAAAGTGATGGTGTGTTTGGTGCCCATTACCGGACGGGATATAGAAACGGCCGGGTAAATTGACAAATCTAGATATTGAGCTCACAAGTAGAGAGGGATCCCTATAGACCCTCAATAGTCTCAGTAAGCAGATAAAAATGGATAATGACCGACTTTACTCACTTGTGCATGAAATTATAAATGTTATATAGGTGTTTGTCTTATAGGTTGATTTTGAAAAAACTCGTAGCAGTGAATATGGAAATAACGTTTTGATATTAAATGAATTTACTCAAATTATGAGGTTTATTAGTTGTTTGGTGAATTTTACTAATCTTTATTTTTCGTATAAGTAATTAGTGTGACATTCTTATTAGACTAGTGTAGTTTACTTTTTTATAAACCATTTCATATCAAGAAAACCAAGATCCTGATCCCAATCAGCTAGAGGATTGTGAGTAGTTCACCTATCGGACTCCTTTCAAGTGCTAGTGGAGGTTAACTCTATAAGAAATCTATTTATTTATTTTTAATTATTGTTTGTCTTTTTTATGAACTAATGCAGAAGGGACATTCTCGTATCCCTATTCGGTATTTCAATTTACTGTGTAAAGAATGTAAACCTAACTTTATTGTTTACTTTCGCATTTAGATGATAAATCATTTTCTTTTAGTTTCGGACCTTTACAATATCTAATTAACAATATGAATACTAAAAACATTAATGACACATGCCATATCCGTCTTATATGCATGATCGGGCATAATATTTACACTTATACTTTAAACAAATAGCATAATTTTAACTTTTATTGATATAAAAATGCATAGAATTACTGCATCCATTAAATGTACAACCGATACATATCATATGAGACTATAAAATTCTTATTTTTTATTTTACAATATAAAAGTACAAAATAAAAACTTTGATTATAACTTTAGAAGGTTATTATCTATATTACTACTTACTTCTCAGGAATCATCTCAGTATCTGAAAAATAATAAATGAGTGAGATCCACAATCCTAATAAAATAAAAATGATGCCATCACAACTTAATACATGCGATATATATAATTTTCACATATATCTTATACAGTTCAACATCTTAAATCCACGAAATTAGGGTTACAATGATGCATTAAACAATGAGCCACACGAACCATCACTATTATAAAATGAGTCCCATATCCACTCACTACATGATGCTATCAGAGTACAATTTGAATGTACCATAGGAACATAAACATATGAGTATACCATAAGGATTAAGGTGGTTCACAATCAATAGGTTCACAATCAACTTAGTGGCCTCACCATTAGGTTAAAGAAAAACCTTCAATCAATCATATGTAGAAAAAAGTAAATTATGAGACCATTAATGGCGGGGATAAAGATTTCAAACTATACTTGCATAGATAAGAAATTTGAATGTTTGTTTAACAGTCTCTACCTCTTCACCATACACAAGACACGTGACATTAGCCTTATTGCCATTTTGTTTTATATATTTATATATTTATTCATCATTGTCATGAATAAAATATTTATTGCTAAAATAACTAATATATATGTGTAAACTTTTGTCTAGCAAAATTAATTAATTCATATATTATTACATCTTTACTGGTTAAAATAATGATTTGGTTCATTTACTATTTATTTTTATTCAAATTAATTTATTCCTTCATTTTTGATCAAATTAGTCTCTATACTTTTGAAATTTTTTTGATTTAGTCTTTTTTGTTAATAAAAATTGACACAATTAACTTTTATTAACACATAACATATTTTGATTGATTTGGGTATTAATTGAATGTCATGCCATATACTAAATAATGTTTAATATGATATTAATTTTTTTTAGATATATACATCTTAACAATATAAAAAACTATTAATGTCTCAACTTATTAACCAATATATTAATTTTCTTTCTCAATTTGAATTGTTCAATATTTTGCTCGAAAGCTTCGCATTAAGCACACATAGTCATCAATTCCCTTTTTCAGGAGAACGGAGATTTTGATCCAAGTTTTCTTGTGAATTTTTTTCTACTTCGTTCTTCTACATCTTTTGCTCCAAATTGTTACATTCTCATTACTTTATAGATTAATTATAATTTTTTATGAAAATATTTTTTATATTTTTAAATGAAAAATCCTTCAAAACTTGTCACCTCTTTTTTTTTTTTTGTCTAGTAATAAATTTAATACATAATATTTAAGTTAAGATTGTTAATTTTTATTAATAAAAAATTAAATTAAATTTTTTAAAATATAAAAATTAATTTAATCAAAAATTAAGTCACAAATTAATTAAAAAAATTAAATATCAGGCCAAAACAAATTATTATTTTATCCCATATTTGTTTCATGTCATAATAAAATATCTATTGATAAATAAGTAATATATAGATAAAATTTTTATATAGTAAATAAATGATTTGACATAATTAATTGGCAGATGGATTTAGGTTTCTTTAAATAAAAGTATCATTATTACATCCAAATAGGTAGATCTGAGCATTTTTATAATAATTCCAAATTCATTTACAATAAATCTAAATTTCATTTTTTTAACGAACTTGTTTGGTAAAATCATAATTCCCATCTACTATTTTTCTATTAAAAAAAAAAAAAAGATAATCTCTATCTACTTAAACTTCTATCGCAGTAGTAATAATGAAAATAAAAATTAACTATTTGAGGCACGTGAGGTGAATGAGGCCAAACTAAACTACAAGACAAAGTGACGTAGGTATTCGTGCAGCATTTAAAATTTATAGAAAAATGTTTATATAAATAAATATTTCTTTAATTTGTCCTTACATCATACAGCAAATCTCTCTCCTCTTTCTCTGGTAAAAAAAGATTTTAAAAGCCATTGCCACACTGCTGTTCATACTTCCATCTATCTTCTTCCCTCTCATAGCTGCTTGCCGTCGGTACACCATTCTCTCTGTCTCTCCAATCCTCTGTGCTTTTCTATCTGTATCTATATCTCATCATCTGTTTATAATATGCATTTTTAGGGTTTTTTTGCTTTCAGAAAAGTTTTATCGGCGAGGATCAGGGTTAGGGTTTTCACCCTCCTAATTAATACTCCAAGATGCAGCAGCCACCGCAAATGATTCCTGTTATGCCTTCATTTCCACCAACAAACATCACCACCGAGCAAATTCAGAAGGTATATCATTTTCTCTGTCTCTGTACCTCTCTTTTATGGTATATCGAGATTTTTTATTTCATATTATTTCTCGGGACTATTTATTTATGCTTTGCTTTAAATGATCGGGAAATAAAATAGGTTCTTTAGAACGCCCGGGCATCTTTCATCAGGCAAATAATTGATACAGATTTTAAATAAACTTTTAAGTAGGAGGAGTTTAATTAATTAGGTTTTCCCTAATTAGATGCTGGAATCCTTTTAAAGGATATTAAAGTCTTCAGTTTTAACAGATGATCAGGCCTGTAACCAGTAGAGGATCAATATCAAACAAGTTTAATATAGATTTGAAAAAGGATGCATTTGGCATTTTTGACATTGCGTGTCTCGGTATAGTTTTCTGCGGACTAGAACTGTTGTGCTTTTCATTTTAATATCCCAGAAGGTTGGAGAGGGCCGTAAGGAGATTAGTTGTTTTCATTCTTGATTGATATATCTAGACAAATGTACTAAACAAAGTAGTGGGATTGCACTCCCAAACATGTAATATTTATCTCTCCTAAATTGATGGCCGGAGAACAAAATTTTACAGTTTAAGTGAGCGAATCAATGAACTAGCGGCATGATCTCTATTGATGAATTCCACTGGTATTATATTTAGACTTTGATACATGTGGTTTACAGGAGGCAACTGTGAGTGCTGTGTTCAGGGCAAAAAAGAGGCTTGTTAAATCCTGGTTAAATATAGATATATATGATGGTTTCGCCTGTGGTGGGACAATGTCCTCTGTGTTTAGTATTAGGGTGAATTAGTTGTTGTTGGTCCACAAGCTATACTTTTTTTTTTCTCCTTTTCAAGATAAGGTGCTTAACAGTTTGATATAATAATGATGTTAAACTTCCATTACTGAATCTTCTGGTGTTAACTCTCTGCATCATACCTGAGAATGGATACAACGCAATAAATGTTGACATGATTGACCTTTTTTTACATGGTACTAATTTTAGAACTCATCATGTGTCAAAGTAAAACATATGGAGTTTTGAGGCATTTCACATCATCTTTTATGAGAAGCATATTAAGCTTACAATATTTTTTGTAAAAGTAATGAAGATTCTTGATTTTTACCTCTTACCTCTTTTGTTGCCATGTTTTTGGGGTTGAGTAAATATTGCATAGTTCATCATTTTCCCACCCAAATAACTTTAGACTGGAAAAAAATAGATGCTGAAGCAATATACACCAAATTTAGCAATAGTCATAGTTTTCTCGACCTAAAGTGGTTCAGATGAACTTTTTGGTTGTTGGTTTTTTGGGTGTGTCAGGTGGTTTTCATCTGATAGTTTAATTCTTGAATTGAAACAAATGGTAATATTGTCTGCTACTATTGTCATGAATAAGAACATATAAAGTGGTATTACAAGAAATTACAGAATCAGACAACACATACCGCTAATATTGCTGCTTCTGCTACTAGCTCATCTTTTAGGAAAACTATTTTGATTTCAGCTGATGAGTATGTTAAATTCTCTTAATATCAGAAATTTTTAAGAGAATTCTCTGCTTTTGCTGAATCAGAGAAAAAATGTCTTATTTTTATCAAACAGATGAGTGATTGATTCTGATGCTACAGATCACATGACAGATAATTCTAATATATTTTCTAGTTTTCGACCACACAAAACATTTTTTTTCTGTAACCATTGCTGATGGGTCGACCTATAATATTGTGGGTTTCGGGACCACAAAATTAACTTCATCGATTCCCCTGTCATTTGAATCAACCTAAATTTGTTTTTAATATGATTTTTATGAGTAAACTTATTAAAAATATAAATTGTTGTATTACGTTCTTTCATGATCATTGTGTTTTTCAAGATTTTATGACGAAACAAATTATTGGTAAATGACATTTATCAGATGATCTCTACATTCTTGATTCTTGAGTGTTTCGATCGGTTGCCTGTTCTAGTGTTGTTTTTTCATTTGAAGCATATTGTCAATTGAGACATCTTTTTCTCCTATGTTGAAGAAGGTATATTCTCAGTTTCATAATGTACAGTCACTGGATTGCGAGTCATGTTAATTTGTGAAACATCATTGTAGTCCGTCAGGTTCAAGAGTTAATAAAAGAGTTTAGTTTGCTTTTAAGTTAGCCCATTTTGATGTCTAGGGCTCATATCATGTTCCGTCTAAAATAGAGTTTAAATATTTCGTTACTTTTGTGAATGATTTTATTCGAATGAATTGAATATATTTTATGAAAAATTATTTTGTAGTATTTTCTCACTTTTGTGGTTTTTGTGCTGAAGTCAAGAACTAATTTAGTATTTTCGTGCATGTATTGAGAAGTGATAATGTCAAGAAATATATGTCAGACTCATTTTAGAATAATATGACTCAACACGGGATTCTTCACCAATCCTCGTGTGTTAATGCATCATCTCAAAATGGAATCGCTGAGAAAAAGAATAAACATTTACTTGAGACAACTCAAACCCTGTTGTTCCAAATGCAAGTACCTAAGCAATTCTGAGCTGATGCTGTTTACACGATTTTTTTATTGATTAATCGTCTGCCATCTATAGTACTTTATGGAAACATTCCTTACAGTCTTCTTTTTCCAAACAAGTTTTTGTATCCGGTACAACTTATGATATTTGGTAGCACCTGTTTCGTTCGAGACATGCGACTTAATGTGATAAAATTAGATCCAAAGGTCTTGAAGTGTATCTTTTTGGGATATTTTCGCCTTTTGTAAGAGTACTGATGCTACTCTCAAGATTTTAATAAATATTTGATGTCAATTGATGTGATTTTTTAAAGAGAATATACCATTCTTTTTCTCATCGTCCAATTCTACAAGTTAAGGGATGGATGATTGGTGACTCATCTATAAATTTACACAAAGTGTTTATACTAAGTAAACAGATAATAGTATTTCTTCAAATGATGTGCTTCCAACTCTATTTGAGTAAACTGATGATAGTGTTGGTGTGCCTCCGACCCAAGTACTACCACAAATTGTTCATGTTTATTCCAGAATATCACAGACTAATAATACATGTCCTGCATCATCTCTCTCGTCATTTGATTTTGCATCACAGGCCTTTGATCTTTCCATTGGTCTTTGCAAAGGTAAAGGGTCGTGCACCATTCCTAACCCAACTTATCTCATTACTAATTTTATTTTATATTGAATATCTTCATAACAAGCTGGGTATGATTAATATTTATGTTTTAGCTTGAGGGGGAGTGTTACAATATTATAAAATATATTACGGAATATTCTCACGTAATAATTAGTTGATTTTCTATATGTATTAGTATTAATAGAGTGATTTATGTTACTATATATAGGTTCCTCTTTTATGTATACATATCCCTAACCATTTAGAATAAAACGACAAGAAATATTCAATATTTTCCTAACTCTTTACACTTATAAAGATACATTCTTTCTCAGTTTTATTTATACTGAAAGTTTCTTTTTTCCCTTTTTCTGGTTAGCAAGTTTCTGTTTAAGGTGTAGTCAGTTTTATGGATATTGAAGTGTTTGGAAGTTCAAGATCGAGGGAAGTGTTATGAGTACTTTAGGAAACATTTTTTTAAAAAGAGCTTCTCAAATTCTTCACATAGAGTTGGAATGCATCCTTGTTTTTGCACTTTAGTTTTCTGCTCTTTTTGCCTTGATTACTTTGTCGATAAGCTTGTAGTTTTTGTTCGATTTTGTTACTTAGACATGATTTAATTTTATTGGTGTTACTTTTCATGATCTTTCTTACTTGTTTCATCATGCTATTACATTTCTGAAGATTGATTTTAGGTTTCTATATATGGGTTATTACTTGTCTAAAAATTACTTTATTGCTTGATGCAGTACCTGGATGAGAACAAGAAGTTGATTTTGGCAATATTGGATAATCAGAACCTTGGAAAACTTGCTGAGTGTGCCCAGTATGTGGTTTTTCTCTCTCACTTTCTCTGGGCGACTGAATACCCTTGTGAATTGCATTTTAGCATGATGGAACTTTTTCTGAACATTTGAATCAGTATCCATGATTAGTCTTAAGCTCTTTCCCAAGAAAAAAAGATAATGAAAAAAGATAGTATTATAGACAATGGCAGGAAGTTGGTGCTATGTACAGCGAGAAAAAGCGAAAAACCACAAAAGTGAATCTGCCAAAATATCTGTGAAGTCTACAAGATTTTCTCCGTTTGGTAGAGGATTACCTTTAAAAATTACTTTTGCCTTAGAATGACAGGAATAATTATATTTATTAGTTTAATAAAATAAAATAGATGAATTGAGTTGTTGAGTCCTTTAGAGTTTGTTTTTCCATATACATGGTAAAGCATGCTTCAGTCTTACAGCATTCATATAGTCATAAAGATGATCCTATCTGCCTTCTTGTGGAGTAATCAGTTTCAATTGTTCTTATCCATTCACAGGAGCAACACACAGAAATTACAACTATTGTAATTCTTTTCTATTCTCAGGAATAGGAGGAAATGAAGTATCACAATTTTCTTTATTCTGGTTTTAATAGATGGTGGGTGGCGGCACTGTCTAGACATCTGTTGAAGACACTTTTATATGTTTATTGGTGCTTGCACATTGCATGCAACAAGTTTGCTGTTAACCTTTTCGGAATATTTGAAATTTTTCAACATAATTTTTTCTTTTTGATCATTTTAGCTATCAAGCTCAGCTTCAAAAAAATTTGATGTATTTAGCTGCCATTGCTGATGCACAACCACAGACACCAACAATGCCTCCCCAGGTATGTTGCAAGCATCAATTATCTTATGCTAAATTTTGCTTACGTTGCAAGCATCAATTATCTTATGCTAAATTTTGCTTACCCTCCTTGCTTACTTATATCAACATTTTTAGATGGCTCCACATCCTGCAATGCAACCTGGGTATTTCATGCAACATCCTCAAGCAGCAGCAATGGCTCAGCAACCGGGTATTTTCCCTCCACGGGTGCCATTATCGTTCGGTAGTTCACATCAGATGCAGGATCCACAGCAGCAGCTACAGCAACATCAAGCGGCAATGCAAGGACAAATGGCGATTAGAGCTGGGGGTGTCAACAATGGTATGCATCAAATGCATACTGAGGCTCCTCTTGGAGGCAGCAGTGGTGGCCCTTCAGCTGCAGGGCCAAATGATGTACGTGGTGGGAGCAAGCAAGATGGTTCTGAAGCTGGTGCCAGCGGTGCTGATGGGCCAGGAAGTTCAGCTGCTGGACATGGTGGTGGTGAGGGAGGTGAGGACGCAAAGTGACGGTTGCATGATCAGGTTTCTTTGAACATGTATGGCTGTTGATAATAGATCTCTCATACAGTAGAACTGTGCTGCTCTTTGTCATGTTTGATAGATGGAGCGAAGAACTGAAGTTTTCTTGTGTTTGTTTAGTTTAGCAGATTAGGCAGGTAGGTAATTGAGGAGTCAATGTGTCAGTGCCAAAGCATGTGAAAGAATGATAATCTCAGTATGAAGAGGTTTGAGTATATGGTCTTTACCGGCCATGGTCAAGATTTTGTAGAACCCCAAATGCGTGCTGGGTATTCTAAAATTGTGATTTATTGGGTTGATTGCTCCTTATAAGTCAGACACAAGAAAAATCATATCATCCGAAGTTGAAAATGAGGTTCTTAGTCTTGGCAGTTAAGTACATGTTGGTCATGGGGTTGAAACTTTCTGATAGCACAGAAGAGCTGCACCAAATGGCATTGGTTTCATAAATGAAAGTAAAAATGCTCTGTAATTCTTCATATGTCATGTTAGAAACGGATGTCAGTTGGAATTAATTGTTAATGGAATCATGATTACCGAATCTCTTTTGAAAGACATGGGTAGATAAGTTTATACTGAAGCGAATAGAAGAGAATGAATAAAGAAAAGAGAAGCAAAGCAAAAGAAGCACAAAGGAAAGCTTATCTCGTCCAGAATCTGTAAAAAGAAAAAGCGATGAGGTTAAGTAGCTTTTTTCTGAGAAACCCGAACGGGGGAAGTAATGAGATTGACGGGTTTAAAACTAAAATGGTCGCTTTTGAAGTTGAAAAGGAGGTTGTACTTCTCCTTCAAGCCAACTGCCAGTGACGTTCAACCTCAACCACTTCAAATACGACCAAACATTTATTTATTATGATTCCCAAATAATCTTCTCAACTATTCTAATAACATATTGATGTTGTTCTTGTAAGAAGAAAGATTTTATAATTTTAGCAAAACGAAATTACAGACTGTCTTCATCCTACGTAGTCCTCAAGCATTACCAGAACACAAAGCCTCAAGTTTCCCCGCAAAACAACAAAATCAATAAGATTTTAGACTTTCTAATTAATAATCACAACCGTCGGTCATTTTCGAATTTTAATATTATCTTCCCCGGCCCCCACTCACCAACTTAACATCTAAACAACTGTTGCATAACATCATCGTCGTCCTCTGGAAAACTTACTCTGTTTTCTGTCTCTCATCTTCTTGTATCCTCTTTCTAGTAAACCAACGACCCAAAATTCCTTCTCTTGAAAAGTATAGCAACCCTTTGCCCTTATTTTCTTTCTAAACAAACCCAATAATTAGTTGCCTAGAAATGAAAGAAGATCAACGGCAACGCTCTTCTTACCACCACAAACCTACCCTCTTCTCTTACCCTGCAGCTTTTATAGTTCTCATCCTCCTCAGTTACGCTTTGGGTTACCTGTCCGCCTCTTACTGCCTCTACCCAAGATCGATAGAGTCGTCACCACCACCGATAACTGTAACGAAAACAATAAGAGAAGAAGCAGAAGCAAGAGCAAAGACTCCTTCACTCGGACCGACAAAATCTCGTTCAACCGATCTCCGCTCTCAACTCGACAACTTCCAAATCACTACTCGCTGCGCCAACCCGCTTCCGCCCGAGCTCATCCGTCAAACAATTCTTGATCGAATCTTCAACGGGACCTCTCCCTACGTCGATTTCCCACCGCCCCATGTCAGCACCCTCCTACGCAGCAAACGCATCAAGGGATGGGGCTCTTACAACGCCGTTTTCAAGGACCTCATACAACGAGTCAAGCCCCGCACCATCATCGAGGTCGGCACTTTCCTAGGTGCGTCGGCTCTGCATATGGCTGAGCTCACCCGCGAGCTCGGTCTCCAAACCCAGATCCTCTGCGTTGACGATTTTCGCGGGTGGCCCTCTTTCCGCGACAAGGTCAAAGACATCCGCATGGTAAACGGCGACGTTTTGCTTCTGTACCAGTTCATGCAAAACGTTATCCACTTGAACTCTACCGGGTACGTTTTACCCGTTCCGTTTTCTAGCGGGTCGGCTCTGGAGGCTTTGTGCGAGTGGGGCGTGTTGGGCGATTTGATAGAAATCGATGCGGGTCATGATTTTCAGTCGGCTTGGGCGGATATTAACAGGGCTTATCGGATGCTGAGACCCGGGGGGGTAATTTTTGGGGATGATTATTTTACCTCGGTAGATAATAGAGGTGTAAGAAGAGCAGTAAATTTGTTTGCCCAAATCAATGGCCTAAAAGTTCGAGCTCACGGTCGTCACTGGGTCATCGACTCGGCTAAGCTCAGCTGAGCTCGGCTTATGCGCTTTAGTCAAAGTTTTGTAATAAGTAAAATCAGTATACTAAATTAATTTGTAAAATTTACAAACCCTTACTTAAGGAAAAAAAAAAGTTTATACCTTGTTCTATTTTTGTTTTATATTTATTTAATGCTGTAATTTTATTCATTTTGTCATTATATAAGTTTTTCTTCATTAATCAATATGATCTCTTCTCATATGGATTGTATTAATAAGATTTACTTTAATAATTCAGAAAGTCATATATAAATATGATTTACGTATAATACACCCAATCTTATTTTAAATAATTGCATAATAGATATATTGACAGTATCAAAAATTCTTTAAATATCTCCATAAAAATTATTAATAATGTTCATAATCTATTAATATATGTCTTGTGTGGTATAATTGACTCTTCATATATGAATTTGTAAAATTTAATATGTTTATATATAAATATGTAACAGAGAGATTGAAATATTCTGACTTGTTACTAATAATTGTAAATTGCAAACAATTCAAATATTCATTTTTATTTTTATTTCTTTATGAACTGTTTGTTTTTTAATTTTAACAGATTAATAGCTTAAAAATTCAAAGATGCAAACATCATATGTAAGCCAAAGAACAAATATAATGGTAATTCAGTGCCTATCTCATCTCTCTCTCTCTCTCTCTCTCTCTCTATACATATATATATATGTATATTTGTAAATGCAAAATAACAGTTTAGCGATATAACTTACTATGCAAAGGATAGACCCTTCTCATGTGTTTTAATGTAGTACGCACATAATGTGATTTTTATGATTATATAAATAATAACATAAATATAATCTTTTGTGAATAATATTATATGAAAGTAATAAAATTTTTAATAAAAATATAAAAAAAATTATTTGTAGAATGAATAAGATTTGGGAAAAATCGTATGATGAAAATTTTATGTAGTGTATAAGTTCATGATTTGTAACCAACAAAAAATAAATCATATATAAATGTTATCATACTTACATTTTGTTTTATGTTTAAAATATTTAAATACATAACTATTATATATCATCACATTAAATAAATAGTTATAATGTTTTCTATATTACCACACTGGTTTCCAACTATTATCATAATTCTTTTAGATTTTTAGATAAAATTTCTTATTAACTAATGATTAAAATAATTAAATCATTATTTTAAATAATAAAATAAAATTATTTTAAAAATGGTAGAATTGACTTATGTCAATTCCTTCTATATATATATATATATTGAGAATTAGAGGTGTGCCATTGGTATGGGCCCAGCCCAGCTTCCATTAGACATTTATGAGTTCATTGCCTTGTTGTCCATAGCTATAAATGGAAGGCTTGTTATCTTCTGATCTCGGCCCATTATAGTTGTTCAAATATTTTAAGGAAACAATATGATTAGACTATTTTAGTTATCTTTTGGAATTAAAAAAATTATAAAAACATCATGAAATTCATTTCAAAACTAAATTTAATCATGAGAAACTTTTTCAACATAAATTTTTAATTTTAAATGAATATAAATAAAATTAAAATAATTAATTTTAATTCTATTAAGTTCTTAAAATTTAAAAATGCAATATGGTGATCTTAAAGAAAACATCTTTCTTATAGAAACATATATATATATACGCACTTATATTTTTCTGCTCATTAAACCTGTCACAATCATCAATTTTTTTTTTTAAATTTAAAAATGCAATATGGTGATCTTAAAGAAAACATCTTTCTTATAGAAACATATATATATATATATATATGTATGCACTTATATTTTTCTGCTCATTAAACCTGTCACAATCATCAAATTTTTTTTTTAAAATTAAATAAAAATCTAATGGGACCATTTGTTTTTTTGTTTTTTGTTTTAATTATTATTAGTATTATTTTTATTATTATGTTAGAAGACTGGAACACCAAGAAGAAAATAAGTTAGGAGGCAAGGAATTATAATAGGAACATAGAAGTAAAAATAGACAAAAAAAAAAAAAGAGAATTATAATGGATAGGAGCTAGTAATAGGAGTAGGAGATCGCCATGAACGTAGGAAGAAAAGGATAAACCAGGGCGCATGAGAACATATAGATTAAAGTGAATCAAAGGAGATCTAAATGCATGACATCATCCAAGGCTTGAAGAAAGATACACAATTACCCGATTGAGAAGGAAGATATATGACATATGATCTTCATCTAGGGATATGTTAATGCGAATCCAAGTAGCACAACTTACAACTCACAACCAATACATAATTTAAGCTCATATGAGAAGTCACATGAGCTTAAAAGCCCACGATCATAAAGAGAATATGGCTATATAAGCTTAAGTCCTCACAACCACAAAGGAAATTATGGTTACATGAGCTTAAAAGATTGTAACCACATTAAAAGAGAGCAAGACATAACCCACGAAGGAGTTTACAGCCTCGTGAGCTTAAGAACTCACAGATTAAGCATCATGAATGATGAAAGTTATGACAAGGTTCATTTTAAGGGAGATCCTCACAGTTTGGTCCATATAAGGGGACATGAACAACACTTACATGGAGATAAATAAGGTTTGGGCATAACACATGATGGACGTGGGCCATATTGAAGGAATATCTTAATGTCAAGTGGATCAAGCACAAGATCATATACCAATAAACTTAAAGAAGACTTACATTTATTTTAAGGGATGGATCCATGAAGAAAGAAGTTGTGGGTAAACCTTAGAAGGCTTAAAAGGGAGAAATTGGGCCCCTCAAGTCAAAGAGAGAGATGGATAGCTTGGATTTCCTCATAAGGATGGTTCTCCCACCCCATGAGAGAATTTCCCTCACAAGAGATTTTTTTCCCTTTTCATCTCACCTCAAAATGATAACCAAATCATAGATTCTTAGGAATCAATTCAAGTAAGAATCCAATCACATCTTTTTCCAAGTTTCATAGCCAAATATTTCTTTCCAAAAAAATATATTAAATATGTAAAGAAATAAAAAACATTTAATTCGTGAGATCATAGATGGATTCACAAAATCATGGATGAATTCTCAAGATTATGAACAAATTCACAAGATCTTCTATTTTAAGCATGACAGAACATTATCAACTAAAGAGTCCTTATTTTCTTATTTTCTCATGTCCTGTTCAAATTTTCAATAATAATGCAATAAATTTAAGTATAATTAACCTTTTGAAATAATTGTATGATCAACACTATTGACAACTCACTTGACATTTTAGAATTGTATGATTGCACAATTGAGGACTTGAACAGTATACAGAGAGGGTTTGCTTGAAAGTATGCAACAATCTAAGATCAGTCATATCAAACTCAAACATTATTGACCTTTTAATATTCTCAAACATAAGCCTATCATTTTATGTATAAATCAAGTTATCTATATATAAACACATGATCATCAATTTTCCTCCATCTTCATATTTTGTATGAAGAGTATGTTCATATTACATATTTAAAAACCTTTTTATGGAAATAAACATATATACGACTATAATAAGCTTTAGGTGTTGGTTTTAGTCAGTCTATAGCATTTTTTAATTATAAACTTCATGTTCTTCACCAACTTTCGCATAACCAGGAAGTTATTTAATAAATACCTATTTTTATAGACTCTTATAAAAATGCTGATTTGATATCCAATTGAAAAATAGACTAAATATATTGAGCTGTCAAGGCAATTACCACCTTATTGTTTATCTCCAACATACTGATTTGATATCTAACTTAAAAATTGACCAAACATTTTGTCAAAACAATTACCACCTTATTATATCATGTCTAGCAACTGGTGTAAAGACTTCTATATAGTCGATTCTATGTTCTTTTTTGTATCATTTAGCCACCAACCACACTTTATACTTATCTATTTCTCTATTTTCTCTAAGTTTTATTTTGAAGACCCACTTTACACTAATGGTTTTGTATATTATTGGGAGATCTACTAGTTCTTATGTATCATTTCTCTCAGCAACTTCAACTTCATCATTTATCACCTTTTACCATTTTGTATCTTTGATAACACTTTTAAAAGTTGTTGGATCATAGTATGAAAACATAACAAAATAAGTTAGAGGATTTTCCAATTGATCAATTCTAATAACCTCATAATCTGATATCCATGTGGCCTTCTTCAAACATGGTGTGAATATGAATAATCTATTATTTTAAATTATTTTTCCACTGCTATGTAATTTTAGAATTTAAAAGGTTATCATTTTAGGCATTTTTAGATTTTACAATTATTGGAACATACTGCTATTGGGCTGATTTGCTTCACCATTTTTTAAATCAAAATTTATTGGAATTTTTTCTTTAATGGCATTTTTCCCATGAGTAAAACTGATTTTCATCAAAAATAACATCCAAACTAATGTAAATTTTTTTAGTGTTAAAATTATAGAGTTCATAAGCTTTTGATTGGTCACTAGCATTAAGAAAAACACATTGTTATCTTTTTTTGTCTAGCTTTTTCCTCTTTTAATGAGGAATATGGGCATATGCTACAGATTTGAAAACTCTAAAATGAGCTATAACTGGTTGTTGTCCATTCGATGTTTTTTATGAAGTCATGTTTTGAACTACAAAAATGTGACTTTTATTCAGAATGTAAATACACCAATTGGCTGATTCAGATCAAAATGTATTTGAAGTAACGCTGTTTCTCAACAAAATCCCACTATATTCATAATACTACGACTTTTCCTCTACAAAACTCCATTTTGTTGGGGGGTAGGTTGCTGTAAGTTACTTTTTTGTTCCATGAATCTCACAAAAATTTACAAATATTTATGAATTATATTCTCTTACACATTTCAAGCGAAGAGCTTTTACTGAATTGCCAACCTCTTTTCTAACATGCGGTTTAAAATTTTTAGAAGCTTCAAAGGCTTTAGATTTCTCCTGCAAGAAATATACTTATATTTTTCGAGTATATTCATTAATGAAGATAATTACCTAACTTTAACCTTTATTTGAAGATGATGTTAAAGGTATGCAAATATCGAAATAAATAAGTTTCAATGTCTTCTTTGCTTTTCGTGATTTTTCTTGTAGAAATGAGTTAAGATATTATTTGTCAAT